TTTTAAAAAATGGTATTTTTGTAAATATTTCAAAAATGTGACATTTTTATAAAATGACATTTGAAAAATAACATTTTTTGGAATTTTTCAAAATTCAACTTGCTCTACTAATACATATTCAACATAAAATAAAATAAAAAACAGTGCATCTGCCGAATTTAGTAAGATAGTAGAGCAAGTTGGATCGTGTGATATCTGCCCAAAAATTATGATAATTCTTTGTTTTATTTTTGATAATAGAAAGAATTTTTCATCAATCCTTATACATTTTGAATTTGGAGAATGCATTGCTCCTAACAGCACTATTTTATATGCTTTCCCGTAGATTTGGCATCTATTTGTTATTATTATTTGACCATTTGATTATTTTCAACTTGTTCCTAATTTAAGTAGTTTGATTTTTATTTGGTCATCTTGTTCCCAACTTGGTAGGCTTTACAGCTTTGTTGATGAAGTCTACCCAGAAAGCTATTCCCTTTCGCATTTTTTTGTTATATTAAAAAAAGGAATTATCGATGGTAAGTTACACTGAATAATAAGACTTACATATATTTATTTATTTTTAAACTTTTATGAATTACATATTTAATCCTCTAATTTGACAATATTTTTTGAGAAATTTTAAAAAATGCCACTTTTCAAGTGTCACTTTACAAAAATGCCACTTTTCAAGTGCCACTTTACAAAAATACCACACTTTTGTAATATTTACAAAAATGCCACTTTTCAAAATTATTTTTTCTTTATATTATTTATGTTTGGGTTAATTATGTTCTATTAGGATTTAGTTACGAGGGTTTATGGGGTTTTAGGGGTCAAAATATTTTTTAAGGTTTAGAATTTTAAGATATAGGTTTTATAAATCTATAATTAGTGGGATTTTTGCAAATGGACACCCCTAAATGACATTCTTGCAAATGTGCACACAAAAAGTGGTATTTTTATACTTGTCCCATATTTTTTTTTCTTCTTATAATATATTGTAATTTTCTCTCTAGAAAAACATATTGTACATTATATATATATATTCATTAAGTTTGCGGGAAAAAAACGAACACTTCTTCTTTTGGGGGTTTTTCATAAGAATG